GATTTCAATATTGTATTAATTTTTAATATAGGCTGGAAAATAATTTTGATTTTGTGGATCTCTTGGAGTGTGATGGCATACAGCCAGGGGTCCTAGGACCACATTTTAAGAAAGACCGATCTAGACCTTGTCAATCTTCTGCTATTCATAGCATTTCCAAAGTAAAAGCTAACATGGATTGCAATGCTATAAGCAGATTTAGTTTTGCAAATTATTATGCATTCCGCGGCAACATTATAAAAGCAAGGTAACATTCACTTTGAAGCTCAATGGTTTATATTTTTGATAGAACTCTTGATTTTTTTAAGACAGCCCAGCTGCTGCAGTGGTTTAAGTAAAGGCATTGGAATAGGAGCAGGGAGACCTAGGCTGTACCCCTTCCTTAAGCATGGAAGCTGCTTGATAACTCCAGGCCAGTCTCTCTCTGTCTCAGCCTTAGACTAGCAAATCAAACTGAATCTTAAACAAGGTACTAGCAAATTACTTCTGAAAAAAGGTTGCCAAGAAAACTGCACAGCTTATACTTGTCATCACCAGGAGTCATATTTGACTCAAAGAATCATAACCAACACTATGTTTTATTTCCTATGCAAACTGAATTGTTATATGATAGCAATTAATCTCCTCATATTTGTAGCTAAATTTGTTCCGATATGCCCAAAATTGTAGTCATCGATCCTTTAATTTGGCACAGTACAGTTTCCTCTGCAGCTGATTTCAGAAAGACTTCCCAGGACACTCAAAACATTTCTCTGGAGCGAGTAAAAAGTCCTGTGTCATCACCCCGTGACCCATATTTGCTTCTGATTTCTATGTTAAATGTTGCATAAAGAACAGCTGCTTCTTTGAAGGTCAACAGCTCCAGAAAATGCATATAATTTTGCTAAACTCACTGATAGGCAGTGCCCAATTGAACATAGTGGAAAGCATCAATCTTCATCAGAAGACTCTAAAAGAAAGGTAGACATTTATTGGGTAAATATTTCATACTTTTACCTTGAAGAATTTAATGTTACAAGAAGAACAATCAAAACTATTCTTCACGAGGCAACAAATTTAAAGCTACTTTGGCAGATACAAATATGGTGTAGAGNTGATGATGATGATGATGATGATGATGATGTGGTACCCTACTTGGAACAGCTTATATTATTATTATTATTCCTTCTTGTGGCTTACTTCTCCTTTCTTTGGATGGGATGCTGCCATGCCCATAAAGACTAGGGAGACCAATGTCTGGTCCAATGTGATTTTTCTTCTCCTTTGGATGAAATTTTATCCAATAGCCTTGGGTTTAGTCTTGGACTATCCTTGTTTCTTTAACCATGCATTGAATTAACTTTCTTTTCTAACATCACTCCTATTTCTGCCATAATCCTTGCTTATACTTTTTTTAGATATCCATTAAAATCCAGGCATTTAGAATAAAAATACTGAACATCTCTTCTAATATTTCAAAGTGTCTTTTTCCAAATCTGACCCACATCTCAACAAAGCTTAGTAGACATAATATTCTGTGATTGTTTTCCAGACAAAACAGTTGGTGTGTTCCACCTGCAATCTCCTCTAGGAAAGTACAGTTTTACCTATGAAGCCGCTGAAGCCTCGTGTGCAGTTGAGAGAGCTACCTTGGCCACTCTTCAGCAGCTGTCTGCTGCTCAGCAGGTAACAAGGCAACACAGTGATATCAATTCATTAGTATCTCAGGCTTTGGTCTGTGCTAAGAGTCCCCCCAGATGTCCTTTCCTGGTTGAACTTTGTCTCCTTTGTCTAAAGAAGCTTTAAAACTCCCGTTGGATCAGTGGTGGGTTTCCATTTTTTTTACTACTGGTTCGCTTGTGCATGAGTGTAGAAGTGTCCAGGTGAGTGGGTGAAGCCTCCCTCCACCACTGCTACAAGTTCGCCTGATCCAGGCCAAACTGGGAGCAACCCACCTCTGCATTGGATCCCACTGAATCCTCACTTTTTCATCTGCTTCACATTGAAATAACGAATTTAAACAAATTCAAAAAGTAATCCTTCAAGAGATGTCATCCAATTCTTTCTCTAAACAAAAAAGTGAATGACTCAATGTGACTGTATTTGTTTTTGTACCATGAGATGCTGGCAGCTGCATTTGGCACATGGGCACTAGAAAAATGATATGCAGAGAAAATGAAATGAAATGAAAGCTGCCTCCTTCAAGCTAGACAGCCCATTAAGAAAGCTTAAGGTTATTATTGTACAAGGTTTAATCTTATTATTGTACAAGACAATCTTGTCAAGATAGGAATAGTCAGAAATATTCGTTGAAATATATCGGAGTATTGAAATAGCAACATAGCAGTTAGCAATAGCAATAGTANCAGTCAGCTGAAGTGGCCTGCAGTACTGCACCCTAGCCACTGAGCCACCTCGGATCATAAAGGGCGGGGGACACATTTTTCATCCAGTTTACAAAAATAGCCCTGTCTGCTTATTTGAAGCATTTATTTCTTGTCCAATGCAATCAGAAAGATACCTATTTATAAATCTATACATAAACCTATGGGTTTTCCCTAAGTTACTAGCCTTGTTAAGTATGATAATCGTATGGCAATTTTGGATTTTGAACCTGGAATGACCCTCCAGGATAGGAATGCATTGGCCCCACTTCTAAAAACAAAAAAAAAACCCTAAAACAATCTGTTCAAGAATTGCAAAATGAGTTGCCTCCTCCTTTTTCATTTTTACATTTTAATAAAGAGAAAAATCCCTAATAATGCAGAATGTTTAAAAACCAATATTCCTTGAGAACTCCTTTAAGATTTTGAGTACTTAACAGTAAAAAAATATATGGCTAAAGGGTGGTTTTAGCTTAATAGTATTAACAGACTGTTCTGTAAAAATGCCTGATGTTGCTGTACTGTTTCTAAAACAGCATCAAAAGGAAATTAATTAACCAGGCACAATAACAGCACACATTTGCAGAAAAGTTGCCTGCACTTAAACAGATATTGTCTAAATCAATATTTCAAGTGGTTGACATCCCAAGCCTGTTTTCTTTGTTGTGTGATTAGCAAAAAATATCCAAATGAAATATCAAAGTGGTTTTCATAAAACACAATACATGTCTAAAATTATGACACCAGATATCTAACAAAGAAGCCAATGTTATCATTGAATAAAAATTAAATAAAGCAGTACTCTGAAGAGATTTCATAATAGTGGCATACGTCCCAATAAGGGTATGCAGATAGCTATGGAAGCCACCCACATGACACAAACACAGCAACCTGAAGTATCACGGAAAGGCTGGAGCCCTTCAGATCTATGTATATGATCCGTATGGTTCAGCGATGTGCAAGCTCACAAAAGATCAAGAGTCACTGAATCCAGTGGAACTCGTTTCTGATTGAACAAGCCCAACTACGGGCATCACATAGAAAGCGATCCCTGAAGCACAGATCCACCCTCCCTTCAGTTTGAAAAGATACTGTATCTTCAAAACTGTGAATCTTTAGTTTCAAAATTTATGGTGAACTGCTGGTGCACATGGCTTCTTCCATGTTTCTTTTTTTAGCTGTAGCATCCTTCATTTTCATGTCCTCACCCTACCTCCCCAAACTAAATCTGACAATAAAGAATGCTGTGGCATTGCTGTCATAAGAGATGAGAGCTGGACATCACAACAAAATATTTCATTTCTACATTGTGTGCTGAAATTTCTATAAATCAACATTCCANGCTTTTACAGCCCTCTCTAAGTGGTTTACAGAGTCAGCATATTGCCCCTAACAATCTGGGTCCTCATTTTACTGACCTCGGAAGGATGGAAGGCCAAGTCAATCTTGAGCTGGAGTGAGCAGTGAGTTAAGCCTACAGTGCTGCATTCTAACTACTGCGCCACCACAGCTGCACCACAAAGAATAGCAATAGCACTTAGGCTTATATACCACCACATAGTGTTTCACAGCATCTCTGGGTAGTTTACAAAGTCAGCATATGGCCCTCCAATAATCTGGATTCTCATTTTACTGATCTCGGAAGGATGGAAAGCTGAGTCAACCTTGAGTCCCATCAGGATCAAACTCCAGGGGGTGGGCAGAATTTGCCTACAATAGTGCATTCTAACCACTGTGCTACCAGGGCTCCAGGAAGCACCATTTTAGGGAATGCAAATGCACAGAAACCTCAAAGCCCAGATCCCTAGCTACATAGCAATATTTTTCCTTATGTTGTAAGTTCAGCAAAAAAATAATGCTACAATCTCGGAAGTAAACCCTTTACTAACTGTGGAAAGGAGACTTAACTGTTTCATTTGGCTTGCTGCTGAGTTTTTTTGTATTCCATGCTCTTTGCTATCTACCTCTGGTTTGATTGTCCTCTCTGGCTGTTGAGAGTGCATTAACATCTGGCTTCCTTGCCTTGCAGAATACCCGGAGGTGTGAATGCAAGGCTGGTTACGTTGGAAATGGAATACAATGCTTTGAGGAAGTTATTCCCCCCAAAGACCGTTGCATGGAAGAGAATGGGCAATGCCACGTGGAGGCTATTTGTACTGACCTGCATTTCGAGGGTAAAGTTTTTTTTTTTCTATTCTGTGGTCCCTTGGATGATCTTGTCATTCTTTCTACCATCTAATATATTACTTGGAGGAGGGGGATTTCTCACTTTTGGAGAGGAGACTCTCATCCCTTACACTGGCATAGNTTTTATACATAGATTGCAATGTACAGTAATTCTGTTAGGGAGAAAAGAAACTGCTTCTTTCTCTCACTTACCTAACTCTTTCTGTAAAGACATTAACAAATCAAATAATTACGTAGAAACATCTTTGTGAGCATGGATACAAATGCTAATAAGTATACACAAGGTGAAGAAAAGAAGAGGTTTGTTGTTTTGATTCTACCTCTTGGTGGAATACAGATCTGTATTGATTAGCCGCAAGATAATATACCTAAAATTTCACTACCCTGATCTAAAACCATTATGTATGGTACTCATTAATATTCACAATTAAAAGATAGGCCTTCACTGACCCATGTCCTTTTCAATCCATTTGTACATCATTCCTTTCACATGGACATCTTTAATGGCATCCTAAAATTGGAAAGAGAAATTAGGTGTTGGTTTCCTTGGTGTTGTGTGTTGTTACAAAGCTACCAAAAAGACCAGTCCAAACAATATTTATTAGGCTCATGTGATTAAAATGCTAGTCCGTGTTTGAGGCCCGAGTCCCACTTGTGATGGGGTTAGGTTTCATCATTCACCCAGTACTTGCAAGCACAAGTAGATAGATAGATACCACTTAAGTGGACACATTAATGGGGACATGAAAGGGGTACCCAACTGGGCATCCCCCAGGCAACAGTGAGGTCACCAGCTAATCCTTTCAACACAGAAAGCACCTTGATGTTTCTGACATGAATTCGAGCAAACAATATTAATTCATTATTATTTTTTCATCTTTTATGTTCTAGAAGAATTATACTTACACTTATGTCCTTGAAAAGATGAACTTGGTCATACTCAATATTACGAGTCATGAAATAATCAGTCACTGATGAAAGTAGGGTCATTTCAGGAAGAGAGAAAATGTCCATAAATTGTTTAATCGATGGACCCTACTTAGAAAAACAAAATATTATTACTATTGAAAAAAAACTAGATGTTGAATTGTGAGGTAGACAACAAAACTTGATGTTGTTAAAGATAACTGTTCTCCCTTGTAAAATTAATGTATAAATACCACATTGGTTTTTTTTACAGCAGAGCAAAAGATATTCTTTGCTTTGTTGTTTGTTTAGAATCAGCCCCAGCAGCATTCCATTCATAAATAAGAATTTAAATAAGCTATGCTTATGAAATCCTCATAAAATTAGATAACCCAAGAATGAGGTATTTTTGAATATACAATACTGGAAACTTGACACACGTTTTTCTATTAGAAACATAAGATACTTTCAAAACTATTTTTTCTTTCAGCAAAACTCAGGCCTGATTTAAAGAATATGTGATTTCTGTTTGCTTTAAACTGTTATTTCATCTTTTTATATTGGGGAATAATTAGAAATAGTCAAACTGCATACATGAATAGCTTAAAAAAGAAACTATATCAAGTTCCATGAATTAATTGCCCAGAAAGCTCATTCATTAAAGGTTTAGAAGATTAAACTATGTTCCCTGTCATTAAACTCCAAACTCCAAAGCTAATTTTGGATCCATAAAATTTTTGGTTATTATATTATTCGTACTGCTTTTTGCATCTGTTCCCGCAACAAATAATTTTAATACCATAGTATGCCTAATATACAACTTAGTATGTCTAATATATTTCTGAAGTAAATTAGTCAATAACTATGAAACAGTATAATATTATACATATCCAGAAAACTCTTTACTAAATTGTAAAAAAATCTTTAAATGCCTACAATGTTAGTTGCCAGCCTTCTTACTTAGAGTTGAAAGCTTAAAATAATTATAATACAAAAAAGCATCTTCCCAGGACTTATACTTTTGATTATTGAAAATAATTTTAAATGATCTTAGAACTAGCATTGCCCAAGAAATGAAAAACACATTTGGATTGGAATGCAGAAAAAAATCAGCACCTTCAAAATATTCCACCAACCTTTCCTGCTGGCTATTTTCCAATGGAACAAAAAAATAGCTCAACTTTTCCATGTTTCAGTGGAACAAAACTTAAAACATGTTGAGCTCTGGCCTGAGAACAAATGAGAATTTGGAAAAAAAAATACCTTGCACTTTATTTTTCACCTTACAAGAACAGGTGAGGTAATTTGTTCTTTCTGACTTCTATCAGCTAGTCAACCAACAGAAATAATGACCAATGGAGTTTAAAAAAATATTTTTAAACATTAAAATATAAAGCATTTTAAAATCTAAATGGTAAAATCTAAATTAGAATATAAAGCATTTGAAACAGCAACTAGTTAGTTAGAAATGATATAAGAATCCAGAATTCTCTGGATTTTCCAGAGTCTGTTCAAATAAATCCTGAGACACTATTTAGCTGGGTAAGAAAAACTACTAGACAAATGCCACAAAGCAACTAGATAATTTTTTTTTGGTACATAGTAGGATGAAACTAAATGATTGTTCTGTCAACTGAGAGCAAATTCCTTTTTATGTCCTCTGTGATTTAAATCCCAGACTTCTTTTTCCTGCCTTTCCCAGGCTTAACAGATATCCTGCTTTATGTTTCTCAGGCTAAGCTGCTAATATAACCAACATGCTTGCTTTGGGAAACTCTGGCTCTCTACTTCATTCCCACATTGGGTCAGCACATTAACAAGACAAAAGAATTAATGCCATCACTGTTATATTTTTTCCCCTAAGCCAAAAGGCGCTGCTAATTGAGAAAATAAACATACCAGTCAGCCAGTCACATTCCTATAGTTTTAATCTTGAGACAGTAATTGCAAGCGTTCTGAACTCAGAATAAACTTGGCATTTTCAAAAATGTCAGTTTCTTGTTTTATGACTGTTTACTGGGTTGCTTCCTTCCCCCAGTCCAAAACCTTTTCTAGCCTCACCAATCCATTCTGCAGGATCGCTCATATTGAATTTGCATAAATGCACAAATTACTAATGCAATGATTTGCNCCAGATGAATCTTTCACTTTGCTTTTTCACTCTAGCCAATGCAAAACATTAGCAGAGTAAACAAAACAATAAAAAGTGAAGTCAGATTACTTTATGTGTATCTTTTTAAATGCAGTTGTACATAAAACCAAAGTGCAAATTACACAAATATCACAAGAAACCCAGCTTTTATTCTGCTTTGTCTTTTTTTTAAAAAAAAACCTTAGCTATAATATTAAGGATGTTTGAAAAAACAGATTTACATTTAAACAAAACCAGCAGAGTCCTCTTTTTAATAGATTGTTCCTTGCAGATGTTTTGCTATTCTGAACCACACTGGAATTTAATTTGGGGGTCCAAAATGTCATGAAACAGTAATAAGTTATCATTAAGATGTGACTTGAAAATAACATTGCTTTTTACAGGTTTTGACTACTGTGAAACCATCTGCTGCTCTGACAATTGGCATAAGCACCGTTTTTGCTATAATTCTGCTCTGTACAACTATCGCTGGATTATCCTATTTCTGCCTCAAAAGGAGAAACCAACTGATCCACTTTCGCTATTTTAGGGTAGGTAAATCCATGCCTCAGCTTTGCTCGTAACTAAAAAAAAATTAAAAATAATAATTTTGTATTCTTTCAACAGAACTTGGGTAGAAAGAATTCTGTAAAAAATTTTGTAATTTCATTAGTGGTTGTAGAACCTCATCCAATCAAACGGCACTATTTAATTTTTATTGTTATAACAGCCTTCTCCAGCCATGTCTGCCAGTTCTGTTGGGCTATAACATCTGTAAGTCCTTCCCAACATTAGCAAAAATGAAAGAGTATTAGTATATTAGTATACAACATCTCAAATTAGCTTTAAACTTCCTTGGCTAAATCACTTTGTCTTAGCTCTCTATTCAGGTTTGCTAAAATATGCCGATTCCTTATTACTGTATAGTTTGAAGAACAAAGTCATACTTAATCTGTTTACTTATAGGCTGAGCTAGATGATGATGAACCTTCCTGGCAAGGAAGGAGCCCACACTTAGTATCCATTCCAAATCCTATTTATGGAGCAGATATCTCGATCTATGAGCCATTTGAGGTAAGACAACTAAAACACGAATGTTGACTATTTTCAGATACCAACCCATAATGCAATTGTTATCTACATTGCAACCAAAGCTAGGGATAGCCAAATTGTTCCCATACATGGCACACTCTGTGCAGAAAATGACTACTTTTGAAGGATTCCTTTGTGCAGCCAAATCCACGGTCTCTATCTTCAGCATACTGAGTGGGAGTCACATATTTTAGATGGAATCTTGCTGCAGATGGGAAAAAATGTATTTGAACACGCCATTCCACTTTAGTTCCTCTGACTGTAACCAGAACATATAAAATGTGTTATCTTTTGAATGCACCTATGAAATCCAATATACTGGTAACTGGAGGAACTGGTCATATTCTGTTCTTGGTTTTAGTTGCCTGAACTTATGAATTTAGATGATTTATTTAAATTTATATGCCACCTATCTCCATGTTACAGATTAACTGACCATTTTTGTAACTTTGTTTCAGGAGTCTCTCCACAAAGAAGATTTTGTTGATACTGAAGACATTCTTGGAGAATAATAATATGCTGTAATACAAACCAGGATACAAAAATTCCAGAAATTTTGAAGAAACATTTCACATACCTCAATTCTATTCCTTTTAAAGATTATGGGAAGGAATTATGATCGAAAGAGCTATCGGCATTTACAATCCCATAAATGATTTCCAATTTTTTTTTTGTTTAGAATCCACTCCCTCATGTTGCATTGCCTCTTTTTAGAGACCTACAGTAATAAGTTCTGAGTGTAACTGTAATATGAATGGAAAGAACTTGAAGATGTATGTAGTATGCACAGAATTCTTTGGATCCTGTCCATGAAGCTTCAATTTTCTACTTAAGAATGATTCATGAATGTGTCTGGCAAATGGATACTGTGAGAACCCTGTCTGGGCCAATGAAATTTCAGTTCAGATTTAATGAATGAACAAATTAACTTTGAAACTGCACTACTGACCTTACCGGTAAACTGTAGACAGCACATATTTGTAAACATTCTGAATGTTAATGCACTGTAAAGCAATTATTAACATTTTTTACTACTAGGTAAGCATGACTACATCAACATGCTACCAGTAAAGATGCCAATTATCTCTCTTTGCCTTATAATTAGTATTGTTTCTTTCTCTCTTCCCATGAAGAAAACGGAAATATATTAATTGTAAGACTATTCCACAATGAAACAATGTATTATTTTTGTAAAAAATAAATGGTGTTATGCCTAGTAACCAAGCACATCGATATCTCACCCTCGCAACAACAAATATTGTCATTCCAATATCATGTATTTGAACATTCCATTTAGATCAAGTATGGGAAATTATCCTTACACACACAATTCTGGAAAAGATAAACACAATATTTTATTCTGTGGACAGACACAGGAATCAGAATTAACCATTGTACCCAATTTTGGAAAAACATCAAATTATTTTCCATGTTTTTAATCGCCTATTTCTAAACTATCTAGCTTTTGCTGATCAGCCTACCTTGAAAAGTAACAGACATTGTCTTTACCAATCAGAGTTTAGGAAGTTCATTGGTAATTTAATGATTTCATATTTAGAAGATAAACCAATTAGGCCTCATCGGTATTTAAAAATGGCAGCTGCCTAGCTCAAGCTACAATACTGCACCATGGTATCCCTACTTTCATCTACCCTGATGCCTCTTTCATGATGCAACTTCTACCTTTTGCTCTCAGTGTTCTTTTAGAGGCAAAATATGGATGTAAAAGTAGTTCATCAATAAAACATTTCCTATGGATTGGAAAAGCTACGACACGGCCTCAGAGAGAGAAGGAAGGAACAAGTATCTCCAGAGAAAAGTTCCATAAATGCAACCCTAATGATGGCAACATCCATGATCTTTCCTAATATAACAATTTTCTATAGAACAGACACAATTACAGAAAATCATCATATACATTCCTATTTTCCATACGTAACTATGGCAAGTTAGCTTATGTGCACAGTGAGTCTTTCTCCTGAAGTGGCAGTA